GTGGAATGTTTTATAAATGTCTGTTAGGTCCATTTGTTCTAAAGTATGGTTCAATCCAATGTTTTCTTATTGGTTTTCTGTCTGGATGACCTATCCATTGCTGACAGTAGCATATTGAAGTCCCCTATTATTGTAGTGTTGTCTGTTTCTCACTTTAGATCTTTTAGTATTTGCTTAATATATTTTAGTGCTCTCATGTTGGGTGCACGTATATTTACAATTGTTATATCTTCTTGAAGTATTGACCCTTTTGTCATTATCTAATAACCTTCTTTGTCTCTTGTTACTGTTTTGGGCTTTAAGTCTATTTTGTCTGATATAAGTATAGCTAACCCCACTTTCTTTTGGTTTTCACTTATTTGGAATATTTTCTTCTATCCTTTGAGCCTATGTATGTCACTTTGACCTGAAATAAGTCTCCTGTAGGCAACATATAGTTGGGTCTTGGTTTTCCCATCCCTCTCTGTGCCTTTTGATTGGTGAATTCAGTATGTTTACATTTACAATGATTATTGTTATGTAAGGACTTAACTACTGTCATCTTATTATTCATCTTCTGCTTGTTTTTCATCTCAATTTTTCTTTTTCCTTCTGTTTCTGCCTACCTTTGTAAATTGGTGGTTTTCCCTAGTGATTTTTTCAGTCCCTCCTTTTTATGTTTTGTGTCCCTATGGTAGATTTTTGCTTTTGGGTTACCATGAGGCTTACACAAAACATCTCATAGGAACAAAATAGTCCCTTTTATCCTGATAACAACTTCTCTTTTTTCATCTATAGATTTTCCATCCTTTTACTTCTTTTATATTTTTGATGCCAAATTTTCCTATTGTTGTACTGTGAATTCATTACAAAATTGTAGTGGTTATAGTTATTTTAAATTATTCTTTCCTTTAACATTTGTACTATAATTAAATGGCTAACACACCATTCTAATATAGAGTTACAGTTTTCTAATTGTGATTGTCTATTTTTCACCTTTACTAAACTGTTGTGTATTTTCATACGTTTTTGTGTCACTAATTAGCATCCTTCCATGTCAGCTTGAAGAGTTTTTTTTAACATTTCTTATAAGTCAGGTCTAGTGGTGGTGAACTCCTTCACCTTTTGTTTGTATCTCCTTTATGTCTGAAGGATAACTTCACCAGGTAAAGTATTCTTGGCTGGTAATTTTCAATCTTTCAACACTTTGAATATGTCATGTCACTCTCTCCTGCCCTGTAGAGTTTCTTCTGAGAAATCCCCTGATAGCCTAATGGGGATTCCTTTGTAGATTACTTTCATTTTTTTCTCTGGCTGCCTTTTGGATTCTTTCTTTGTCATTGATTTTTTTGACAGTTCCATTATAATGTGTCTTGTAAACAGACTTTTTGTATTGAGATAACATGGTGTTCTATTAGCTTCATGGACTTTTATGTCTAATTCCTTCCCCAGGTTTGGAAAGTTCTCAGCTATAATTTTTTAAATAAACTCCCCTTTTCCCTCTTTTCTCCATCTGGTACACCAGTTATTCTTATATTTGCTTTTCTGATCAAGTCCTTAGGGTTCACAGGGCTTCTTCATTTTTAAAAAATCTTAGTTCTCTTCTCCTAACTGAATCATTTCTAAATTCTTATCCTCCCAGTCACTTATTCTTTCTTCCATCTGATCTGTTCTGTTACCTTTGCTCTCTGATGAGTTCTTTATTTCATTCATTGATTTATTCAGCTTCAGAATTTCTGTTTGGTTCCTAAAAAATTCAGTTTCTTTTGTAAAGAATCCTTTATGGTCATTAATTTTGTTCCTGAGTTCATTGACTCGCCTTTCTGAGTTTTCTTATAGTTTATTGAATTTCTTCATAACATCTATTTTGAATTCTTTATCAGATCTCAGTATACTGTGCCTTTGAGTTCCTGGGGAATTATCATTTTCTTTTTGTGATACCATATCCCTTGATTTTTCACAGTGTTTGATGATACGTGTGCCTCTACTTTCGCAGTTGAAGTAGCAAGCACTTTTCTTAGTTAAGGATTTGTTTGCTTTGGCTGTTACAGCTCATCAGGCTGGCAATTAGAAAACTTTCTTTTGTTTTCCAAAAGGTGGCACTGTAGCTCAAGTTTTAGGTTTCTCCTATAGAAGCTGGCTCTTGGGGCTGTGCTTGGGAGTTTTAAAAAGAGCTGGCATCAGAATGGGAGGAGGCTTGGGCTTAGGAACTGAAACTTTGGGGGTGCCATGGCCTGGTAGGGGGATCCTAGAGTGGGGTCTCCCAGAGTCCTGAAGCAGATAGCAGGAAACATGTTCCTTCAATGCCCTTTGATAGTCTTATCTGCCCCCTTTCCTTTCCTCTTCCTCCCCAACCCCCCAGTCATGGAGGTTCCCTCCTCATAACTCCAGGTCTGCTGGAGAGAATTGGAACCCTCCAGCTGCAACCCACCTGCATCTGGGCAGTTTGTCACTCACCACTTTTGCCTTCCTCCTCCTCTAACACAGAGGTAGCTACTTCCACTGCTAAAAGTCCAGTGTTGTTTAGGGTCACCTTGGAGAGGGGGGCTGCCTTAGCAGGTTCCTGCCTCTCCTCTGTCTCCAAACTTGTCTCAGTCCTGCTCTAGTGGCATGCTGGGTTCCCCCATCAGGCTGGCTGGACCTCCACAAATTCTCTGTCTCCTGTGAGGGTCCACCCAATTGTGTGTTCTCCAGGTTCCCTTTCTCCCAATTGGAGCAAGTGAGAGTAAAGCAGACTCATCCACTCCCTTGGATCTGCAGCCCCATCTGAGGTCCTATCTACCTACTTTGAATGCACAGGTGGGTAGAAATCTCCTAGGTATCCTGGTATAAAATGCAGAGGACTTTTGTTTGGTTATGGGTGTCCAAGTAGTTGTAAATCAAAGGGGAGAGAAAAAAGGAACAATGCATACCACCATGATGCTGATGTCATGTTAGTTTTGTTACTTTTTAGAGTGGTTATTTCTCTAATGTAAATGCTAATTGTCTTGTTCTTTGGTCTTATTTTCTATATCAATAAAACAAGATGATTATATTTAGATACGTGTTTTCAAATTACCAAAAAAAGGGACATTACAATTAATCGCAGATTTTTTATAAAGCTACAATTTCATGACTATATATTAAAATATGTTTTTATACAATGTTTTGAAATTTTAGTTATTATTTAAAATCTGGAAACCACTGGACTAGTTTATTCCAATAGTCTCTCTCAAGGTTAACATTCTCTGATCTTACGGTTTATTCTTCCCTTGACTTCCTACATCCCAAGAGAAAGAAAATGTCATATAAGAATGTTTTATGAATCAAATATCTTAAGGGAACTTAATGGTTGTATCAATCAGGATAGAATAAGTTATGCTGCAGTAACAAAGAACTAAAAATTCTCAGTGCCTTACAATAGCAAAGTTTATTTCTCTTGTTCATCTCAGGTCAACAAGGGATTATTCGTATCAGTCACTTTACATTCTGTCACAGAAAGATATTGACACATTTTTTACCATATAGAAGCCCCAAAGTAAAACATTACTTCTGTTTGCATCTCATTGCCAAAGCAAATCACATGAGCACTCCTGAATTCAATAGGACAGGGATATATATTTCACCTGCAGGGAGGAGCACTGAATATTTATAAACAACAATATATTCTGTGGGTGAGTATGATATTAGGAATAAAAACTAACAGAAAAATGAATTTATTTAAAATGAAAATTAGAAAAACAGGAAATTTGAGAATAACTCTTACTACTTCTCCAATCTTCTGAGCATATTAATATTAGCTAAACAGAAATTTCCAGATATCAGAATATCTTCACATACAATTATTTTTTTTTTGATTTTTTAGAACAACCCAGTGAGGGAGATTAAAAAGACTGAATTGTGGCTAAAGTCTCACTACAGAGTTAGATTGTTTGGTTTTGAATTTCAGTCTCAACATTTACTAAAATATGTTCATGGACAAATTGCATTGCTTAATTTCTCAGTGCCTCAGTTTCCTTCTTTTAGGACTGAATATAATCGTAATTCTATCCTGAATTTATATATCTGTGAGGAGTCAAAGTGATAACACATGGAAATGGCACATAGTAATACTCAATGCATATTGCTAGTTGTTAATTATTTTTTGTATTTTTATCATTTATCAACAGTACTATGATTCCCATTTTTTAAATGAAAACCTAAATGCAATCTATAGACTTTAATGTTTCTCTAAGGTTCACATAGTAGATGGCAAAGCTTGGATTCAAAATTAGATTTTTGGTTTAGAGATTTTGTTTACATTCTAGTCACACTTATTTAATTTGACACAATCATATTCTAATCTGTGTCTTTAAGGTTATTTTAGCAAAAGGTTGTTTGTTTTTTTCCTATGGATTGATATAAATGGTTCAGGAAAAAAAGACTGGCTGAGATTGGGAGAGGATATTGAGAATAAGAAAGGAAGACAAAGAGAAAGCAAGCAACTGAAAAGGTACAGTGTAATTAGAGTAGGTGGCAGGGCAGCCAACTGAGCTGGCGGAGGGAAGTCAGTGGTTTGCTCAGGAAACAGGAGTGATAGTGGCCAATCTGGTGCTGTTGTGGAGCTCAGATTAGATTTTTTGTGCAAATTGGATTTGGAGAATTAGAGCAGGATTGTAAGACCACCTACTGAAAGGAAGAGTATTATAGGAAATCTATAAAGTCCTAAATTCAGCATTTTTTTCCTAACTGAAGAGAAAGCAAAACCAGAATTGTGTGACTTTGTTGTTTTATAATTGAAATGACTGAACTGTGGATTTGAGAGACTGCTGACTTTAGGGAAGTCGATGTGGTAAGTTATTTTAATGGTTTTTGTGTATCATATAGTTCCCCCCTCACTTTTTTCTTGAAATAGGTGGTTTCTGTCATATGCTTTGATATAGTTCAGAGTCTCACAATCTGTTTTAGGTTTGTTGACAACTCAAGTTTCAGTTTCCAGCAGCGTATACTGTTTTGTTTGAAATGCGTCTGAGGCTTGGTTCAAAATGTTTCTCTCATTTCAGAAATGTGGTATGCAAACTTCATTATGTTTGCCTTCATTTCTCTAACCTTCACATGTGACTTATTATCCTGAGAATAAACCTTATGGGTAAGTCTGAGCTAACAATTTTTTTCTTCTTAACATTGGATATGTTTTATTGAAACTTCAAATATAAATTTTCAAATATAAATACTCCCTAAGAAGCACTGCTTTGTTGTTAAGCTATTACCAAACATCCTATTTAATATTATTTAGGAATTCCCAAGACATCTTATTTAGCACATTATAGTAACCATAAGAGCTTTAAAATAAAAAGAAATTTCCTCTATTTAGAGCAATCCAGAAAAAATGAGGTGTGGGCAACAGAGCATTGATATTAGTATCACTAATTATGAATAGCTTCTCTGAGGAGAACCATTTTAGGAAAACTATAATGGGAAGTAGACATAACAACTATTTCAAGTTCTTATTTTTTTGTTTTGTTTTGATGCCAAAGATGTCAAGAATTTGTTTGCATTGTTTACTTCCCATGATATAAATATACTTTAGTTGTTTTAATTCCTCTGCTGTGAAGTTTATAACTCTTTAGATTGACTGAGATGAAAATTAAGATTAAGTGAGAAAACATATGACAATGGCTGATCCTTGGTAGAAGCTTATTATATGTTTGCATATCTCCACCTATGCTAGGATGCTAATAAAGACCCCCAAATTGTGTTTGCAAGTTGTCCTTTATTTTAATAATATTTTTAAATGCTTTGTGAAAAACACTTATTTGTTACTTAAAGAACAGTTCAGAGATAACTGATGAGGCAATGAGGAAAAGTTGTTTCAAAACTAACATGTAGACTGCCAGAAGCTCTAAAGAGTTTTAAAAAAAGAGAAGAGAATGGGGAAAAAATTGCAGGTAGAAAACATTGCTTGTCCTTTCTTATCACCATCTGTTCCTCTGGGGGATAAAAATATATCTGAGATGTAGAAAGTATTATTAGAATTTGGGAATAGTGGAATGGAAAGACAGAATGTCCAAGTAATGATAAGTGAAAGTGGGAAGAGAACATGAGTTTCTAGCAGTTTGAATAGTACCAGAAGTAAAAATAGCAATAAAATAATAACAATATTACAGCAACCAAATACATTGAGCTTTTACTGTATCCATGCACTGGGATAACAGCTTTATATGTGTTAATCCATTTAATCATCATAACAACTCTATGAGGTACATACTACTTTTTCTAGTTTACAGATAAATTTAGAGAGGTTACTTTCCAGGATCACACACCAGATAAATGGTAAGGTCAGGATTTAAACAATGCTTAGTCTAACTCCTAAGGTCGTAGTCTTAACCATTACATTTTAACATTTGGAACCTTGGGTCAAGTATGAAGTTCAAATGTTCTCTTCTCTAACTCTCAACTCTTTATCACCATCAGCCGTATGTCATCCACTATTTAGTCAGTCTTCTCTCCTATTCTGTTTCTAATATTCATGTACATTCAGTTAGTCTCTTGTCCTCCTTGCAAATTTTCCTTCCTATTTGTTTTTGAATACCTTTCTTTGGTAATTAAACTCCTCTCCCTATGTTGAAGGTAACTCTTTATATGTTCCCTACTACCTGCCCTATCATATAGACTGCAGAGTTATAACATTGGATTCAACATGTCTATTGGTACCTTGTCAACTTTTAAGGGTCCAGCTCTCTAGGCCTGATAATCCCACCAGAGTGAAATGGCCTACACATACTAGTTGCTTATGAATGGTATCTGTTCCGACTGCTTGGTGTCTGTGCTAAATTAGTTGTTAAATCTTTTGTGTGCCATTTCTGAAGCTATCATTTCTTTGTTGAAAGCTTCCAAGTCTCTCTTCTTCTTTCTTCATATCTAATTTTTTTATAGCCCGAACTCAGTATATTCCATATTAACTCTTCAGTTTCCCTAAATCAATCTGCCTCTAGGTTACACTATGCATGATAATGCCATTGTCATTGTTCCACTCACTAAACTTTAAATCATAGAGTCCTCTTTGATTCTTCCTTTTCTCTATTCCCCTACATCTGATTAGCTACCATTTCTGTAGAATTATCTCCACCAAATCTATTGCATCTCTCCTCTCTATATCAATTCATTATTGCTGAATAACAGTAATTTATTATGTCTCATATGTCTATGGTTCACTAAGTAGTTCTTCTGCTGATTTAGCTCTGGAACAATCATTCAACTAACAGTTAGCTGGTAGGTCAACTCACATGGTTAGAATGGCTAGGGCCAATTAGATCTCTCCATGTGGCCTTCCCAGTTATCATCACAACACAGTGGTCTCAGATTTTCAAGAGATGTACAGATGCTAATCAAACTTCTGTTTGTGTTTGTGGCTTGTTTGCTGACATCCCTCTGGACAAAACAAATTATAAACCAATTCCATAATCTATTTAGGAAGAGATTCCACAAAAATATGGATACTGTCAAATGTCATTCATTGGGTGGCACTTATTGTTACAATTTACCACAGTCTCCTAATTTTCATTTTTACTGCTGAAATCATAGTTCAGATTTTCATCACTACTCTGTTTTACTACTGCACAAGTTTTCGATTGTTTCTATCTCAGTTCTCTTTGCCTGCCAATCCATCTGCTATACTACAAAAGCTCCAGTCATGTTACTTTCCTTTTTAAAAATAAACAAATGAATAAAAACCTTCTATAACTTCTCATAGCTATCAGAAGAAAGTCTGCTTTCTTCTCCCTGACTTTGAGAGGCCCCCAATATAACTTTCCTAAGTCCTATGGCTCCCCTACTTCTAACTCAATGTTCTACAAAACTATATTAACTTCTTGCTATTGTCCTTGCCTAATTCCTACAATTGCTATATTTTTTTCTTGCTTAAAAGCCATTTCACCTTATCTCTTTTCATTAAAATCAAATCTATTCTTCAAGTCAATTTTACCTTCCCGTATTCCCATCAGTTACAAAGGATTTTCCTATTAGTGAAACCCTAAAGCACTTTACTCATCTCTCTCTTAAGATAGTGATCATATCCTTCATTTTATTATTGTTATTTGTATTTGTGCATGGACATGTCCTTTCTCAGACTTAGTATGAGAAAGGTGCTACAACAGTGTTGTCCAATAGAAATATAATGAAAACCACATATGTAATTTTAAAAAATTTAGTAGCCATATTAAAAGAGGTAAAAAGAAACTAGGAAATTTAATGTTAATAATAAACTTTATCTAGCCTAATGTATCACAAAATATTATCTCAACATATAAACAACATACTAATTAATTTTTTACATTGTTTTTCATGCTAACTTCAAAATCTGGAGTGTATTTTACATACATATCATATTTCTGTCCAGATAAATCATATTTCAAGGGTTCAATAGCAAAGTGTTGCTTTTGGCTACCATATTGGACATTACAACCTGAGAATTCTATGAGAAACATTGGTGTAGTACAGAGAATGTTGACTCGTGGTAGGATGATTATCAGATTTTGGCCTTGTTACTTATTATATGAGCCTGAACAATTTATTCAGTCTCTCTTAGCCTTAGTTCCTTTATGTATACAAAGTTTTTGCAAGGATTAGAGTTGACTGTATTACACAGTTTCTGACATGGTGTTCATTTACTTAAAAAAAACCAATGTGGACATGACCCAACCTACACCAATGTCTTGCAAAATACCTGGATTTTAGAGTCTGTATATTGTAACCATTTATTGATCACATAAGCCATTATGCTATTTGTTTTGCAAGGAATATTAAATATGAAGTCTACCTTTAAGAAGATTGGTCCCAGAATGATGGCCATATAAATACTTATTTTTTACAATATAAATCAAATATCACTTAATAATACCATATAAGTTAAAAAGCTGTCTTACAGAGGAGTCATTAACTATTCCTGGGAATATCAAGGTAAGCTTCATCAGACGCTTTTTCAACTGCATCTGAAAGGAAGAAAAGTTACCAGATATTCATGGGTGATGGAAGGGAACCATAGAAAGTTAAATAAAGTGCATGAACGTCATGGAGGAATAAAATTCCTTGTAAAATATGAATAAATTTTAGTTTTGCAATGGATAGGTGTTAGGGACTTCATGTTTGTGTTCCACCCCACCAAAAATTCAAATGTTGATACCCCAACTCCCAATGGAATGGTATTAGTCTATGGGGCCTTTGAGAAGTAAATACGTTAAGGTGAAGTCATGAGAGTGAAGCCCCCCTGATAGGATTAATGTCCTTGTAAGAAGGGAAAGAGACTGAGATTTTCTTTACTCTACACCATGTGAGGATGCAAGAAGAAGGTGGCCATCTGTGAACGTGGAAGGGGGTTCTCACCAGACATTGGATCTTCTGATATTTTGGTCTTGGGTTTCCCAGACTCCAGAAATGTGAGAAATAAATATTTAATTATAAGCCATCCAGCCTATGGTATTCTTGTTATAGCAGCTTGAACTGAATAAGAAAATAGGACACAGAATATATTCATAAAGTAGGACACAGAGTCTATTCATAAAGTGGGTGAATATGGACCCACTTTGGGTCCTAGAAAGGACCAAAGGAGAGCATTAGGATTCATAGAGTGCTCTTGGTACCCCCTCCAAAAAGCTAGTACTACCTCATTTTTCATCATCTTAATAAATGGTATCACCAAATATCTATTTCTTTAATATTTCTCTTTCCCTCATTCTTCAGCTTGAATCTATGTATAAACCTATTGCCTTTCTACCTCTGAGATGTATTCTGTCAGTGCAGCACTCCAAGCCACTTACTACTTTCCTAGACCACTGAAAAAGCCTAACTGATCTCCTTGCCTCCACTGTTGTCTTCCTGTAATCCAGTTTCTTCACAGAAGAGGAAGAATGATTTTTTTTAAGTAAATCAAAATCTCTTAGCTACCCTTCTTTGAGCCCCAATGGCTTTCTCTTTCATTATGTTCCAAAGGGTGCTACATGATCTGGCCTACCTCTCTGACCTAATCTCGTTTTACTCTCCCCTTGATCACACATTATTTAGATGCACTGCCTTTATTTTATTTTAGTGTCACTGAGTATTCTAAGCTTTTTTCTACCTGGGCTTTTACTATTGCACTTTCTTCTATCTAGGTTGCTCTATCTTCTATCTTCAAATAACGGGCTCCTTCTAATCCTTCAAATTCTACCTAAAAATCACTTTCTCCGGGATACCTTCCCTGACTATTCAAGCTAAAATACCCTGATGGTGAAGTCATTTTCTATTTTATTACACTGTTATTTCATACTAGTTCTTACTGCCATCTTAAATTGTTTTATTATTATCATTATTTACTCATGTATTTTCTTTCCTTTCCATTAAAATGTAAGCTGCTCGAGAACAAAATCTTGTCTGTCTTGTTCATCACTGTATCCTGAATATCATCCTTGTGCTTTAGCAAAAGGCAGACACTCAGTTAATGCTTGTTGAGTGAATGGATCTTTTTCCCCACATGTACTATATTCTCTCTAGTAGGATTTCATATATTAAGAAGGAAAATGGATGTGAATGTATTAATCTAGTGTTTTATCAGGTATAAGAGATATTTGGTTATAAGAGATAAGAGGGGAAAAAAAGCCACACTCTATTGCTATAGCCAATGAATTAAGCAAAGGATTTGATAGAGGGGGCAGGGGGAAAGGTCTGTTTCCTCAATTCATGATCGTTCATCTTCCAAATAGTTTCTTAAATCTTAATGTAGAAACTTCAGTAACTAAAAATATTGGTTGTGATACCAGAACTGAATTGAATATTCTGTTTCTTTTTGAAATTGAAACATTGCAGATGTTTGCAGTAGGTAGTTAAGGCAATATTTTGACTGTGAATTCAGTTGGCTCTAATTATTATTTTCCTTCTATTAGTGTAGGACTTTAGAAATAAGATCTAATCCTGTTAAATAATAATTGCTTACAGACTTTTTATATGTATATATATAGATGTGTGTATATATATATAAAATGCAAGATGTTTAAAAAGGTTAATATTCCCTCAATAAGGAAAACATTGTTATAACATGTCATTTAGATCAGCTCTAATAAGTAACCAACTTGAAAAACTCAGAAAGGCATAAAAAAACATGTATACTTAAATAATTATAATATCATTACAATCAACATTTTTTTATGTTTTAGAAGATTCTCATTAACCTTTTTGTCGAAGGCATTTCTAAGAACTCAGAAAAGCATGTTGAAAAACATGTTTGTTGCCATTAACACCATTTGCCCAGCTATGCATCTCTAATATATGTCTGTATTTCTTACATATGGTGTTTCTAACAATTAGTTAGGGGTAGCTGATTTAATGATTATTCCCATACAAAGTCATAACACTTGGGTGCTTTTTACAATATAAAGGCCCTTTTATGTTTAATAAGTTAAAAACTAAAAGACACAAATTATGCAGTCTATAATAATTAATTATCTGGAGCTCACAGGAATCTTCTCCTACATTCTCTATATTCTTTTTTTCATTCTCTTTCCAATGGCTTTCACATGATGATGTTGTATGTCTTTGGTTTCCTCTCTTAACCCCTAATACAAATGGATGTTTATGTAGGGCTCTCATGACACCATTTACTCCGAGTTTTCTTCCTGATCCTCTAGCTATTCTCCTTCACCTTGACTGTAAATGTGGAATTTATTAACGCTTTCATCTAGGTCTTCTTATAAATTTCAGTTGTTTTATTTTAATGATTGAATAAGAAAATAGAATCCATAACTTGGAAGCTCTCTCTTCTTTTCACCCACAAATCTATCTATACTTGCCCCTGTCATTTTCTTCTATCCTCCTGTTATGATGAACAAAGTGCACTTCATTTTACCAAAGTCCATTCCCTCCATTTTTACCTTTGTGAGGACTTTATTTCTTAAATTATCCTTTCTCTTCAGATTTAACAGTCTTTCTTTTTCTGACAGATTAGTCCCCTCAGATTACATATATCACATTAGAATCTTTCAACTAAAATATCCGTGACCCTCAGTTTTTCCCTACTTAGTCAAACTGCTGAGTTTTCATCACATAGTCTCAACATCCTCAACACTAGTCATTTTTCCTCTCCTTACTGTTCAGTTTCCATCATCACTTTATTTAATCTGTTCTTGTCAACATAAAATATTTGTTACTCATACAATGTACCTTTTTTATCCTCATCTTGCTGTACTTCACGATAGGATTCAATATGGAAAGACACTCTCACCTCCTCTCTTCCTTTGGCCTCTGTGATTGTACTCTCTCCTTGTTTTCCTTCTCTCTCACTAATTGCTCTTTTTCAGATTTTTTTTATTGTCTTTGACCTAAGAACTCATTTGGATCTAATTCTCTTTCTTTTCAATCCTCTCTTTAAAGTGTTTGCCATCATTTCCACGGATTTAAAACACATACTTTGGCATGGAGGCCTGCATCTTGAAAGCAGATCTTATCTTGGACTTCAGCCTCACATTTACAAGAGATCCTTCACATCTCTACTTCACTGTTTCACAGACATCTCCTACTTAACATATCCAAACTGTGACCTTCAATTTGTTTCTTCAAGAAGCCTTTTGGTATTCCCCACTGCTCTGTTTCACCACTTACTAAGATACCTGAGGTATTTCCTTGATTTTTTTCCCCCTTCTCTTAACAACTTGCCCTACTTCTTCATATAAACCTTAGCATGATCTATGAATTTTTATCTTCAAACTATCTCTTAATTCCTTGCACTTTTTTTCTTGTATCCTCTTCCACCTCTTCATCCAGGTCATCATTATGTCTTGCCTGTGTTCCAAAACAACTTTTCTCCTGTTTGTACTGTTTTACTTCCTCAATTGATTTTACTACAAACCACAAAATAATATTCATAGTATTTAAGTCAAATTACAAACTCACATGCCTTACACTATTACATTTTTATTGCATTTAGACTAAAATCTCAACTCCTCATGATAACCTACAATACTACACATTATCTGGCATGAACCTAGCCCTTGAACCTCAGCTTTGCTCTTTCCCTTAGCAATCCCATACCCTCAGTCATGATGGCCTTTCTTCATTTACTTGAATGGGCCATGTTATTTTTCACCTTGGAGATTTTTGGGGATGTTTACCCCCACTTATTTTGGAATGCTCCTAACCCAGGTTTTAGTATGGCTGGCTCCTGTTCTTTATAAGTGGTCCCATAACTCAGTGACTGGCATCACCAGTCATTCAGTTCTGCAAGCAAGAAATCTGCTCTCATCGTTGAAACCCTCTTCTCATATGTCACTCAGACCACCATGCATTCAGCATCACATTCCTAATTTCCCTTCTAAATATTTCTCGACTGAGTTCTTTTCTCTCTCCACTGCCACTATCTAGCCATGCTTTTGTTAAATGACTAAAATCTCTTATTTTACCAACATTATTACGAAGAAAACACCACAGACTCACAATTTAAAACCAGACTTTATTGTTTGTAACAAATGCATTGCAGGATGGATGCAGGGAGTCCAAACACAAGCCACGGCCTGGGAACACCTCACAGCAGTTTTGTAACACATCAGAATTACATGCTTTCTTTTAGGTAAGATTGTACACAGAGAACCCTTTTAAGAATTTCCTGGTTGTTAGCAGGGGAGTAGGATAACCATGATAATCAGGTATGTACATCCGGGAAGGGAAGATGAACATTATGGACTTAAGGCTGCAAACTTCAAAAAGGATATTTGAAAGGGATTCTATGATGGGATAGCAGTATTTGTACAGGGAGCATATGTGTATAGAGGTTAAAGAGCTTGTCCAGGAGAATAGAACATCAAGGACATCTATTGAAATTGTTACTATTAGCATATCAAACTGATAGAACTTCACGTTCTGTTGACTATGGAGGGGCTCGCTTCAGCATCAGCATCTACCTTAGCCCTTCCTCTAATCATTCCATTGTCTACTGTGCATCCAGAATGGTCTTCTCAAATCAGAAAACCACCACCAGCACCACCACCTTTCCCAAACCCTGTCAATGGATTACCACTTACCTTAGAATAAAAGGCCAAAATTCTTAGCAGGGCTATTAGAGTTTTCTGCATCTGAAGCCTCATCTCCCAAACTCTCCTCTTCAACTTTTTTTTTTTTTTTTTTCCTATAGCCATACTAATCTTTTAGTTACTCAGATTCACTGAGCTCCTTTTATCTCCTCAAGTTCAACTCTGGGAAATTCTGCCTCTTCTTCTTGGAAGGATCTTTTCTCACCTCTTTCCCTAATTAACTGCTATTCATCATTCAATTCTTAGTTCAAAGGCCACTCCTATAAAGTCATTTATCCAGGATTAGGTCAAATTCCCCTACTATTGTCATGACTTTCTGTACTTTCCTTCTTACCACTCACCATAAATCTATAGGACAGTGTCTATTTTGGTCTTTATTGAATCCTCAGTCGCAGGACAGGGTCTGGCAGATATTATTTAAGAACTCAATAATTATTTGTAAGATAAAGTGACATAATGAAAGAGAAGAAGAAAAGAAAAACGTCAATTTTTGAGAAGTAGAAACTTAGTAAATATTAGGCCTTGGAATAGAGTTATTCCCCTCATCCTCAGTCTAATTCTTCCCACATTTCACCAGTTCCTGATTACCTTGATTTCTCAGGTCATAAATGTCCTGGGATCTCAAAAGCAGCAGAAGAAGTATAGACATACCTCAGAGATATCGTAGGTTCAGTTCCAGATCACCATAATAATGTGAGTATCTTAATAAAGCCATTCACAGAATTTTTTTGGCTTCACCAGTGCATGTGAAAGTTATATTTATAGTGTAATCTGTTAAGTGTACAATAGCATTATATCTTTCAAAATGTACGTGCCTGTTTGAAAAAATACTTTATTGCTAAAAGAGGCTCTCATCTGAGGCTTTAGTGAGGCATAATAGTTTTACAGTAATAGCATCTAATATCACTGATCGCAGATCACTGTAATAAATATAATCATAATGAGAAAGTTTGAAATATTGTGAGAATTGCCAAATGTATGACAAAGTAACAAAGTGAGCAGACGCTGTTGGAAAATGATGGCTTTAAACTTCCTTTGTACATGGTTGCCACAGACCTTCAATTTGTAAAAAGTGCAATATCTGCAAAGCACAACAAAACAAGGAACGAGATATGTCTGTATTTGAAAAAAATTCAACATTCTTCTGTCAACAAATGAAGTATAGAAGGAATGTACCTGAACATAATAAAAGTCGTACAGGACAAGCCCATGGACAACATCATACTGAAAGGTGAAAAGCTGAAAATTTTTCCTTTAATATCAGGAACCTCACCTCTCCTCATTTCTATTCAAAATAGGATGGGAACTTCTAGCCAGAACAATTGGGCAAGACAAAGACATAAAAGACATACAAATGAGAAAGGAAGAATAAACTTGTCTCTGTTTGCAGATGACATGATTTTATATATGGAAACTCTTGAAGGTTCCAGCAAAAATCTGTTAGAATTAGTCAAAAAATTCAGTAAATTTACAGAGGACAAGATCAACGTGAAAAAATCAATACAATAACAACAAGCTATCAGAGAATGTAAGAAAGCAATCCCATTTACAACCGCACCAAAAATAATAAAATATTTAGGAATAATTTAACCAAGGGAGTGAAAGATCTGTATGCTGAAAACTGTAAGACATTGAGGAAAGAAATTGAAGAAGACATAAACCAGTGGAAAGATGTCCTATGTTCTTGGATTGGAAGAATTAATATTGTTAAAATGTCCATACCACCCAAAGTGATCTATTATCAACAGTGCAATCCCTGTCAATATTCCAATAGCATTTTTCACAGAAATAAAATTCAATCTTAAAATTCCCATATGGAATCACCGAAGACCTTGAATATCCAAAGTCATCTTGAGAACGACAAAGAAAGCTGGAGGCATCACACTTCCTTATTTCAAACTAAATTTCAAAACTACAATAATCAAAATAGTATGGTATTGGCCCAAAACTAGGCAACAGAGCCCAGAAATAAACCCTCACATATGTGGTCAAAAGATGTTTGACAGGGGTGCCAATACCCATCAATGGGGAGAAGATAGACTCTTCAATAAATGGTGTTGGAAAATCTGGATATCCACATTCAAAATAATGAAACTGGTCACCTGTCTTACATCACTGAAACAATTTTATTTGAAATGAAAGATTAAATGTAGAACCTGACAGCATAAAACTAGAAGAGAACCGGAAAATGCTTCAGGATATTGGTCTCAGCAGTGATTTCATGTATATGACACCAAAAATCGCAGACAAAAGAACCCCCAAAATAAACAAGGAGAACAAGATCAAACTAAAGAGTGTCTGCATAGCAAAGAAAACAGTCAGTAAAATAAACAAGGCAATCTATGGAATGGGAGAAAATATTTGCACACGGTGTATCTGTTAAGGAGTTAATATTCAAAATAGATAAGGAACTCTTACCACTCAGTAGCAAAAAACCCAAATAACCCAATTTTAAAATAGGCAAAGGACTGAGTGGACATTTTTCAAAGAAGACATACAACTGGCCAGAGGTACATGAAAAGGTGCTCAACATCACTCATCATCAGAGAACTAGCAAATCAAAACCACAAAATATCACCTCACACGTGTTAGGATGTCTATTATCAAAAAGACAAGAGATAACAAGTGTTGGCAAAGATGTGGAAAAAGGTAACCCAGGTATACTGTTGGTAGAAATGTAAATTGATACAACTATTATGGAAAACAGTATGAAGTTCCTCAAAAAATTAAACGTAGTACTACCATATGACCAAGCAATCCCACTCCTGCATATAGATTCGAAAGAAATGAAATCAATATCTCGAATTGATATATGTACCCTCATGTTCAGTGCAGTATTACTCACAATAACCAAAACATGGAGACAACCTAAATGTCTATCAGCAGTGAATGGATAAAGATAATGTTATTTGTCAACTTGAAGGGCATTGTGCTGAGTGAAATAAGCCAGGCAGAGAAAGACAAATCTTGTATTGTATTACTTATGTGTGGTGCGTTAAAAAAATTAGAATTGAACTTATAGAAAGAGAGTAGAAATGGTAGCTGTCAGGGCCTGGGGGCGGGGGGGGGGGGCGCGGCAAATGGAGAGATATAGTCCACAGGGTACAAACCTTCAGTTATAAGGTGAATGAGGATCTACTGTACAGTGAGGTCACTATAGTTGATAATATGGGATTGTACACTTGAAATTCGTTTAGAATAGATTTTAATAGTGCTTACCAAAAATTTTTTTTAAAAAAGGGAGTTAACTATGTGAGGTGATGGATGTGTGAATTAAATTGCTCTTGGCAATTACTTCATAGTGCTAATGTTATATCTAATCATCACATTGTACATTTTAAATATATAAAGTTTTATTTGTCAATTATTCTTCAATAAAGCTAGAAAAAAATCATGGGGAAGTCAAGTACCTTGAGAAAACCCCATCACGTTTCTAGGATTTTCAAACCATAAGAGCTGTCAACTCTTTGGTACGCTATACCCTTATTATGTCAACCAAGTACTCCTAAACAGGCAAAATGATGCCACATGGTCTGGGTATAATATATTTGAAATCTGTTTTTTCTTTGTTCACAGTATTTTCTAATCCTTTTCTCATGTGTAATAACTTGTTAACAGTTTCTTCCTTTAGATGTTTCATTTTATCTACAGAAGTAATTCTGCCTATGAATACTGAGTTATTTCTCTTCTCATGGAAGGGAAAGTAACTATTTGTGTTGAAGAATTATTATTTGTGATTAGACTTCCATCTGTAACTCAAAACTGAGCCAACAAACACCATCATATAGTATGACGGATAACAGAATGATTGGAACATTAGCTCATGCCTTTGCAGAGTAATCTCAATATTATGATGATCAGGATCATTTTTTATTATCATTCAGCTTCCAAATAGAGTGCCTCTAGATGCTGAACCAATATGTGATATAAGCTTCCAAAAAGACACTTATGTTCAATAAACCAAATCTCTAAAGAGATTACTTTTCTGTGGTATGTAGAGATAAGTCAGATGGTTTTTGCAAAGGATAGAAAAGTCTTCACGTATTTAAACCAAAGTTTTTAGAACATTTGCATTTTGTTCTTATGGCTGTATCAAAGCAGTTTCCTTCCTTCCAATATGAAAGTGTGAAAAATATGAAAAAATTTCAGGGTCTTTATTCAGGGCTAGTTCAATTGACTTAATTTTTCTTCTCTTTTGTTTCCCACTGCAAGCCTCTTAAAAAAAATAATAAGTCTAGAGATAAAGGAAAAAACATCTAGATCCCTCAGATGTAGCTTAGAATTTGTTGCAGAAAATTATAAAGTTTTAGAAGAAATCATTCAAGGGCTCCAATAAAAACAATACTTCAAAAAAAAAAAAAAACCAGAATGGAAAGTGATAGATTAAAAGACCTTTAAAGGTCTTTCACAAGAAATTGAATAGATCAGATGGGCAGATGTGCAGTCTGTTTTCTCTTTTTGTCCTGGAACATAGACTCTGGGGGAAAAAAAGTGTGGGTAAGAGCCACTCACATAATTTGTTTTTAGGTAGAAATGGGTGTCTTGAAAGGGTTTAGTTACAAAGAGCACGATTTACACTAGAATAAAAGGTAAAATATGTATTATTTCCCTATAATAGCAAATCTGCAAAATACAACTGATACTTTGGGATACTTTTCAAGGTCTTATTTGTTATAAAATGATTATATGTGCATCAATTCAATGAACGGACATTTTGGAAACACTTCTTTGAAGCTCAGTTCCCTCACCTGTAAAATGAAAGGAATATCTATTGTTTTAGTCTGATGTATCAAATGAGAAATTGTATATAATATACTAATCATTATTTCTGCCTAAACGCATATTTCTTCATGTCCTCAATAAAGATGTGTTTCTTATTCTTTTTTTTAAACTTTATTTATTTATTAAATTTATTTTTAAATTTAGTTATTTATGGCTGTGTTGGGTCTTCGTTTCTGTGCGAGGGCTTTCTCTAGTTGTGGCAAGCGGGGGCCCCTCTTCATCGTGGTGCGCGGGCCTCTCACTATCGCTGCCTCTCTTGTTCTCTGCGGAGCACAGGCTCCAGACGCGCAGGCTCAGTAATTGTGGCTCACG